AGTATTTTGTACCTAAAGAATTATTTGGTACTTACAGAATTATTTTGTACATCCAGAACCATTTGGTACTGAATAAGTACAGAAGTATTTTGTACCTAAAGAATTATTTGGGACATACAGAATTGTTTTGTACATCCAGAACCATTTGGTACGTACTGATTTCGTACAGAAGTATTTTGTACCTAAAGAATTATTTAGGGCATACAGAACCATTTTTTACGTCCGGAATACGTATTGAAGTATTTCGTACATGCAGAATTATTTTGTACATACAGAATCATTTTGTACGTACGGAATAAGTACAGAAGTATTTTGTACCTAAAGAATTATTTGGTACATTCAGAATTATTTGGAGCATACAGAACCATTTTGTACGTACGGAATACGTACTGCTGAATTTCGTACCTAAAGAATTATTTGGGGCATACAGAATTGTTTTGTATATCCAGAACCATTTGGTACGTACTGAATTCGTACAGAAGTATTTTGTACCTAAAGAATTATTTGGTACATACAGAATTATTTTGTACATCCAGAACCATTTGGTACTGAATACGTACAGAAGTATTTTGTACCTATGGAATTATTTTGTACATACAAAATTAAATTCTACCTACAAAACTATTTTTGTACGAAACACATAAAGAAGAAATTTATGAATACGTATATCATATACAAAGTAGTAAATGTGTTCAATACAACATATAAATTTATCAATGCTTATGTTAATGAATGTTAAAATATCAGCGTCTGACACATGCAACCATATTTGTGTAAAGGAATGTTTGAAAAATACTCATGTACACACGTGTCATATGTGATAGGTGGAACATTATTACAAATTCGTACGGAATGAGAACTACTTATATGCACTTTTCAACACAATGAATCATATTTTCATGGACGAACATTATTTTCACATATCGATATATATTTTGTATACATTTTTCTTCAGCAATATTTGTATACATCTGTAAAATTCCTTCTTCACATATTATAAATTCAAGTATTGTACACATATACAACAGATTTCGATTCGTTGTATTAAATTTTCCCCACAATTGTACATACAATATACTTTTGGGTTTCTGGGTCATTGGGTTTCCCCAAAAAAAAATGTTTAATCAGATTAGTATTGCGTCATATTAATTTGGATTGTATTCGAAAAAAATCTTTCAAAATCATCCTTATTTTAATAATTTCAAATCTTTCAAAATCATTGTATGCTTTATCCAACAAAAGATCTAATATATTTTATAGATTAATTTTAGATTTTATCATTAATTTAAAATATGGATATTTTTTTCCACTAGACATATTACTTGAATATGCGTCTAGAAGATAAAAAAAAAGTACCGCACACGTTAAATTCATACGCAGATAGGATAATGAAGACTGGTAATGCTTCTAAAGCATTTTTATGCAAATTAAAGCTGGCGGTATCATTTGTCCACTAATTCTTTGAGGCCTTTTTATGTCATGCTGTACAGTCCGTTATATTATTCAAGATTATATTCAACTCTCTTTTGGATGTATATTACAGTATATATATATACATATGTTTTTGAATGTGTTTTTTTCCAAATATTTTCTTCCGGTATTCTCTGGAAAAATGGCACGTTCCTTTGGCAGAAGAATTTTTACTTTCGAATAAATAAATAATTTGCGAATTACATAAGATTAATGTAATAACGAGTTATTAAATGCGTAGTAAACGAGATCCATAAACCTTGATAGGCTTAGAGGAAATATTTCTTCGAAAGATTTCCGCAAATCCTTGATGTGACACTGTTTGATGGTATTCAATAAAAATGATAAATAATATCAAAACAACTTTTTCAAAAATTAGTTATTTAAACAAATCGAATTCCATTTCTCTAGAAATTTTAATTATTAAATCAAAAATAGTGTTGTATTCGCGAGTATCATTTTGTGACGAGAGTCTAATAATAAACTTTCGAAAGTACTGTAAATGTGTATGATGATTAAATTAATCGCGTGTTAATGTACTTGGTTCTGCAGAGTATGCATAGCGTGACAGTAGGTCTCTCAACTTCGTCCTTGCTTTTAAAAATAAAATCAGAAGTTGAGAATCAAGATAACCTTTCGCGCAATTTTGTAATGACAACAAGACAATTTTTTTTTTCCAAGATGTTTCCGTTACATATCTATAGACGAATGTAATACACTAGCAGTATTAAATTATCATCAGAGGTATTTATAACAAAGCTGATGTTGTATTCTTGTGGATTGACAAAAAAAAAAATTTTAAATTAATCTGCTACTGCTTTTTCTAAAATCAAATGATTTTCAAGGGTTGTTTCTTTTGGATTATATTTTTGAAAGGTTTCTCTTAGGTATAGTAGCAGTTTTTTTTTGTGTTTTCATTTATTTTTTGAGCCATTAAGATTTGATCAATGCTCTCTCTTCTTAGAGTAAACGTTTTCAAAGGCCAGAATACTCTTTACATTTAAATTCAACTTCAAAGTGGATACATGTTTGAGTATCCAATAAATCTTCAGCGCAAGTAAGACGTGGATATATAGAGAATAAAGGGTCAGAGAACAGAATAACATTGTCAATTTTACATGACAGACGACCCTCTTGTATATGCTGTGACGTCATCTTGAGTATAAAATTCAATTTGTTTCAGTCATCAATTTTTTTATATTGTAATCAAATTTCAAACATTTGGTGGTTTTTCTCGTACATTTTTTACCGAATTCAAAATCACTGTAGAAAAACAAAAAAGGAATGCGGTCTAACAGACCGGAAAAGGAGCCTTTTTAGCATCTAGTTAAAGATTAATTTCCTTTTAAAATTTTGATTTAATTTTTATATAAAATTTTTATTAACATAAAAATTGTACATAAAAATTTGAAATACACTTTTTAAAATTATATCTGAAAATGTATTTTATAATTATAAATAATTGTACACGTACAGGTGCATTCCTCATGGTTGCGAATGTATTTGTGTGTTTCACTGACATGGGTAAAATTTGCAACGTATGTGGCGCACGCCCATCGTCTCGACCAATCGGAATTCTTGACGTCACATCGTACGATGTAACGGAGACACTTACCCACGTGGTGAGTCTACTTCTTCGTTTGCACCACACATACACATTCGCTATTTCGGTATCATCGTTAAAGAGAAATTTTTTGCACATTCGCTCATCACTTGCACGATCATTCTAGAATTCTCTTGTCGTTAAATCTTCTTCTTCTTTTTTTTTTTAATTTCTCATTCATATACAGGATCGAAAATTCTCTAAATATAAATAAATTATCAAATAAAACCTGTTTGTGTATATATATATATGTCTTTCCCGGCGAGTTTCTCAACCAGCTGTTGATCATTGAATGAAAGTGACCAAAGTTTCCTTTGTAAATTGTATGGAATTTTGAAAATTATTTTCCAAAAAAATTAGAGATGTGGGAATTATTTTTTTTTGGTGCTAGATCCAAAATTTTTAGATTGTTTTAATTAAAAATTTTGATAAAAATTATGGGGATGTCAACCATAAAAATGTATGTTCTCTAAATCTGAATCAGTCATATTTCACTGATTAGCAGTAGAAATCTACTAATTGCTATAGCGAGAATTGAGCAACTGATATAATTAGTAGAAATTTACTGATTCAATTAGTAAAATATCAATTACTGATTGAAACTTCAGTTAAAATTAAAAGTACTGATTGAATTAGTAAAATTTCTACTGATTCAGATTTAGAGAGCAGAGAATTTTGCTGCCACAGCAAAACATTTTAGCTATGGAAGCTAATTATTAGCTGTATTAGCTAACAATAATTGCTTTCCATATAATAGCAATTGGGGTTAGCTAAAATAACAAAATTTTAGCTAATATAGCTATTTTTCTCCTTGTAGTTTTTATTTATTTTTTATTTTGTTATTCAACATATTCACATATTTTCATTTGTTTTTCAAATTCTACAAGAATTAAATTCTATATAATTCTTCTATATAGAAATTATTATTCCATTAGATATGCTCCGATTATATATTTGTTCTTTTCATATATCATTCGTCTTCGAAAAGTATATATATATATATTGTATAGTGATTGCATATTATAGATAAAGTTGGACCTACTTTTTAATGGTAATAACTGAGTTATAAATTTCGTGGCTCTCTCAGATTGAGTGCGATATTTACATTTTCATTGAAATGTCTTTTGCGTGTTTGTGATTTTGTGCCAGAATATTACACGCGAGATTGATAAAAAGATGCAACATTTCAATTCTATATTATATACTTGACGTTGAATCAAGATTTCCTCTCTCTCTCTCTCTGATTATAAAGATTTGATTTAAAATTAAATAATAATAATTATATTTAGTCTCGAATGCACCACGTGGAACAAAATATATATGACAAGGAAAGAGTAAATAAAAACAATATATTATTTATGAGGAAAAAGTGTCGCATCACTAAATCTTTAAAAAAAAAAGTTGTCAGTGAACTAATGAATATTCTTCAGTGAAAAAAAAATATAAATTACTATTTAAGTAAAAATAATAGAAAAATTATTTTTGCAATTGACTAGGTCAGTTTTTGTTTTATTGAAAAAATTCCTATTATTATAGCAAATTGCAGATAATCATAAAAGCATTGGGAAAAAAAAAAGAAATGCAAACAGAAATTGAAAGGCTCTAGTTTATCGCCAATTATGTCATGAATTGCTTCCACAAACACTTTTCTGTGAGAGGGAGAGTTGTTGAGACGAGCGACTTTTTTTTTCTCTCTCTCTCTCTCTTGTCTCGTCTGCCGATAAGGCAAGGCCACAACTAAATGCTATTCACACGCAAGAAAAAAAAAAAAATTCACCGATAAGCGGAAAATTATTATTCATAACTCGCGATTCAAATTTCCCGCTCTTTTTCGTTGCCCAATAGGTAAAATTTCGGAAATTTTTTTAAATTAAAAAAAAAAAAATTAAACTAACAGAAAGTTAGGAAAATTTTTAATAATTCTCACCAGAATAGAAAGCGGTCAAAAACAACGCGAACCAAGATGTATTTTGTCTCTCCATAAGATTACGCATCTTCTTCTTAAAAAAACTTATTTCAAAAATTCACCCTTTACAAAAAAAAAAGTGCAAATTGAGAAACTTTTTTTTGAATCTCCACTATAGTACACTGTTTTTTTTTCGATTCCCACACACGCGGGGAAACACACTTTCAAAAAATTTTTGTCAAATTAAAACGATTATATCGTTTCTAATTTTTTTTTTAATAACTAAAAAAAACTTTTAGACCGGTAAAATTTTCAATACAATTGAAAATCGATCACGATTTTTTAATTGACAATATTTTTGATAGAAAATAAACTTTCTTTTTTTACACACAAGTTTTTTTTTAAAATAATAAATACACTTTGTGAATCGATAACGATAAATATATAAATATATGTCCCGTATCGTTCACAACGGACGGCCGTTCACGACTAAAACTCGACAACTCGCGGAACGTGATTTTGGCGGCAGACAGCTTTGAAGAAACTTAAGTTTATGCGCATGTGCAACGCTCACGCCACTTTATTCCCTCCCTCCCCCCTCAGACCTCGTCCCTCTTGTTACAGAACCTCTTACCTTCCCACCTAAGCCGGTCATCGCGCGCCTTTTGCCCCCCCTTTTCCCCTTTGCTATATATATATATATTTTTTATACCCATATGTATGAATACATATATTTATTTTTTTATTTATATTTTTTTTTGCTGTAAAATTATACCTTGTAATATAGTTGTTTTTTATTTATAATGTACTTGACAATGAAAAAGAAGAAAAAAAAACGTTTAAATAACGTTCGTATATTCTTGAGTTATATTTGGTCCCGTGGTTAGTGCGTTGGATTTGTAATTTTAAGGGTCCTGGGTTCGATTCTTGGTGAATTTGAAATTTTTTCAATTATTTCACTTCGAGAAATTTTCTTTGAATGTTTGAATTGAAAAAATTATTCAAAAATTTGCTTATATTTCAATTAATAAAAGTGGATAAATGTCAAATTAATAATTGCAAATTTTATACTAAAATCGATGAGTAATTATTTACAGTATTTTAAATATAGAAATAAATTGATTAAAGTTGGGAGAAAATAATTTATGTAATTAAGTAATTAATCTGATAAATTGCTGAATTATTTGTTAATAATTAGTAATTAATTGCTTAATAATTAGTTAATATAATTAGTAATTAATTATTAATAATTAATTACTAATTTATTCAATGTTATTATCTCTATTTTTTATACTAATTATTTTATTATAAAAGAAATATTATTAAATAAAATAAAAAATTTTATATTAATTTTTCAAAGTAGATTTCCAGTTACAAAAAAAATTATTGACTTTTTGCAAATAATATTGTGTGCGTCCTTTAGTTATTCATAGTGCACAAGGAAATCGATGTTCAAATTGAAAGATTTCCTTGAAACGAAAAATTTTTCCTCAAATAGCGTGAAAAACCTTTTTTGACATTACAATATGAGAACTACGTTTCCTTGTATGATGAGAAAATATCAAATAGTCATTATTTTGTATTTGCAATCACGTGTGCGCTATATAACTTCACATTTATCATCTTTGACTTATTTACGAGTTGTTTATATGTTTTAAATTTTTGTTTCAAGAAAATTAATTATTCACTTAATTAATGTAATAATTTAATTATTAATAATTGTTTTTAATAATAATAATTTACTGCATAATTTTTTAAAATAATAATTTCTTTCATTAATAATATTTTTTTTAATGATAATAATTTTTTTATTAATTAATAATTAATTAAAAATTAATTAATAATAATTAATTAATAATAATTCCATTATTTATTAATGATTTCTTTAATCAATAATAATTAATGTAATTATTAATTTCCAAGCAGTTGGCATTTTATATATATTAATTTTTATTATTAACAAATATAATTTGAAAAATTTGACGATGAAAAATATTTCACCTCCATCGGGAATCGAACCCAGTACCCATCAAATTACAAATCCAGCGCTCTGACCACGGGACCAACATTAATCTACAAGAATATAACTTTTTTTTCTTCATTATCAAGCATATATTTGGTATTGTTGAAATAAAATTATCAATAATTATAATTTTTATTAACAGTTAATTGAATAATAAAAAAAAAATTCTAATTAAAATATATTTTTTCTCAATTTCAAAATTTAGAGAATCTTATTTGAATATCGAAATAACATTTTAATGGAAATTGACTAGTAACCTATAGTTTAATTGTCACCGATATTGGCGTTATTATTTATCAACAATGTAATTATCAGTGATTCACATCGATAACAACAAGTTAATAGGTATTTTACTAAAACGTGATCAAATCTTGTTTTAGTGGAATAAAAGTATAAAGCTAATTTTTTTAATCATACGTTAGACAAAACTGCATTTCAATTACTTCGCACGTGTGAATTAATTATTATTGTTTTTAAAAATTTATTATTATTATTATTGTAGTTATTATCATTATTATTATTTAATTTTTAATTATTAAAAAAAATGCAAAAATTCTTTGAAATATTTGCCAAAGAAATAAAAAAATAATATAACGTATGTCGTCAGAGAATGTTTCAATAGTTAAAAAAAAAAAAAAATTTGTTCTGACGTGTCTTCTTCATTTTACGTTTCTGACTAATCGTATGATCAAGTGGCGTTGTCATCAACATATGTATATACGTATTAACCACGTGTTTCTTTATTCATAAGACGCGGGAATGGAAAATTATTTTTTCATTTTAAAATTAAATTTTTTAAAAATTATTTGATAGTTTAAAAAAAAATATTCCAAAATTTAAAAATATACAATCTTGACTTTCATTCAAGAATATAATTCATTCTTACAGTTAAAACATATGTACCTAATATTTTTAGACGACGAATAAAGTATTTCTTAAAATAAAAAAAAAATTCTATACAGAAAAAATATTATACCAAAATATAAATTTCAGATAAGAATAAAAATTTAAATTAAAAATTAAAAAAAAAAAATTAAAAATATAAAAAATAAAAAAAAATAAATAAAAAAAAAAATAAAATAAATAATAATAATAATTTTAAAATAAATAAATTTTTTTTCAAATTATAATAAAAATAATAATAAAAATTATTTTAATCACGTTTTTTTGGAATTAAAATAATTTTTTATTTGAATAATAATTTTAATATTTTCTTAATTTTTTATTAAAAATTATTTATGTTTTATATATGAAACCCTGTATATTTAAAAAAAAAAAAGAAACTAATCTTCTATTCACTTTATTTTTTTTCTGTTTTTACTATTTTCCTTAATCAACTTTTAACCCCTTGACCAATAATGACGCATTAGAGGCATTTCTTATGAAGATTCATGTCACAGATTTTTTTTTGTTTTTCTATAGTAATCGATAGCAATTTGGGTACTAAATAAGTGTACCAAATTTGAATTTGAAATTTTTATATTTTTTCCCTTTTAATAATAGAGAAAAAAATTATTCAAATATTTTATATGCAAAAAATGTTAAACTTTTAAGTTATTGTCAAAAAAAAAAATTTCTTTTTAATAATAATAATAATAATAATAATAATTTAATTCACAGTAAATTATTGTAATTGTGTTAATTATTGTAGATTATCGAAAAATTATAGAAATAAATAAAAAAAAACTTATCTATTTTGATTAAACTATAAAATTATTCTTTTAAATGGTTCTGGATTTAAAAATATATAATTTATATTACTAAAAAGCTTTTTTATCACTTTAAAGTACTTTATGTCTATCAATCATCAATATTAATATAAAACTCATATATTAATCGATTCTTGATATTTAAGCTTCAATCTTGATATATATATATAAAATTCGTTATTGCAATTGAGATCTATTTTTCCATTGAATGATGAAAAGCGCGATTTCACGGTTGCTAGTTAAACCATCTATCACTGATAAATACTATAAATTTCCATTTTCTACTTTTTTATCTTTTTTTAAATTTTTTATTCTTCTTTTTTTTCATAAAATGTTATTCTTATAGAATTTTTTTATATACAAAGAAATTTTTTTTATGTAAAAAAAAAAATCTTTTTTTTATTTGCAAAAAAAGGAACTGAGTTTTTTTTTTTTATTACTAATTTCAATGTTATAAAACTCGACGTGTAAAATCTTTTGAAAAAAAAAATTCCAATTATTCCTTTGATCATTTGGAATTGAACATTTTTAAAAAATACAAAACTTTATTTTTCTTTCAGTAAACTGTTTCGTGAAATTTTTTAACATTGAAAAAGTATTTTTTTTTAAATAATCTATTAGTCAAATAAATATTTAAATAATTTTTGCTAACGAGATATTATTTAATAATTAAATAATTATTATTAATTAATAATTTAATTAATTAAATTATTATTTAGAATTTAATAAATAAGTGATTATTTGAATTAAATTATTTATAATATTTATTTATAAATATTATTTATAAATTTTATTTATTTTTTTGTTTATTTTTTATTGATTTAATTAATTTTATTGGTGAAAATAGTTGGATGAAGGAAAAATCAATTATTATATACGTATAAAAAAATAAGAAAGACTGAAAATTGTTTAGAATATATTAAAAATTAGAAAAAAAAATACTAATATGAAAGTACTGGAGTTTTTAAAGAAGTAAAAGAAAAAATACATATTCATGTATTATTAATAAAAGTCTGAAATTCATATTTCAATAAATGTAAGTAAAAGCTTTGACTCAGAACATTTTTTACTCAAAAGAATATCCAAATCAATAAAAAATCATTCAAGGAGTATATATCTTGAGTTCTATTTTCGCAATAAAATAATAAAAAAAAAATCGAGTTCGATTTCAAAAGAATGAATAGTAAATATTTTTATTACATTATTTTTTCAATTTTTATAAAATTATTATTATATATTTATTAATAATAATTTATCTTAATAATTAAAAATTAAATTTTTGAATAAAGAAAAAAATTTAAAAATCGAAGTCAAAACTAAGGATGTATAATTTATAACATATGTATAAATAAGTTAAATAATTCCAATACATGGATATTGGAATTCTATAAATTTGAATATTTTAAAGACATTATATATTTTAAGATGTGAAATTTAATGTTAAATAAATTTTATCAGTTCCCCTTTATGAAAATGGTTTAGTCTGCACTTGAGAGGCCAAAGAAGATAATATTCTGCTATCGTTTCAAACATTTGAATGATATGTTTATAAAAACCCATAATACAGACATTATTATTATTTTTTTTTTTTTTAATTCTTTTTACATTTATTATTTTTACTCTTTATTCATTATTATCCGGGTATGTAATTTCAACGTATAATCATATATTTTAAAATAATTTATACTTATATATTAAATTTCATTTCTTTCTTTTATATTAAATATATTTTACATATAAAAATATATTAAATTTATATTAAATTAATTGAATTATATTA